GTATAATCACAGCTAGCAAAGGCTCCAGTTAATAAAAAATCAATTAACAACAAAGAATTTTGATTACATTTACCTTGTTCAGCAAAAAAATTTCATTTAATAGAAAATTAATGCATCATAGGAAAAATTGGGCATAGAATGTCATCATAGATAGAATTGTACCTATACCAGGCAACATAGAATGAAAAGTAATTAACATATAATATGATTTATTTCTTCAAAAAATATGATGGTTGTCACTAAAATATTCCTTTTTTTCAGGAATTTTTTGTATGGTCTTTTTTTTTTTGTTATAGTGAATTCATTTGATCCAATTAAAATGGTTCAAAATTTCAAGCCCAGTCCTGTAAGCTTACAGATACAGAAGAAATGCTATATGGCTCATAATGGCAGCTGAAATGAAGCATGCAGAGGACAAGGTTAATGTGAATGCTCAATGGCATGTCCATGGATTATGGACATGGTAATATCACAATCACATCAATAATATGGTAATGTGTGAATATGGTGATATCATATCAGGATAAAACAAGTACAAATCCAAGAAAATTTCATTTATTCCATGTCTACATCATCTAAAAAGGAAGAGGAAGATTTTGGAGTGCTGTTAGTGATGGATGAGTATACTTTGCATGCTTAAAACTTTTTAAAATTAAGTTTTATTTCAAGTGTCCCAAATTACCCCCATTCCCAAGTGTAATTCAAGATGCTTTTATTTTGCGTCTGGCACCTTACAAATAGTATATGGATTTTTTTATATATGCCATACAATAGCGCTTACAAAGACATTTAAAATGAGCCCAAACTAGATAATGAAATGTTTCATTTCATGGTAGATTGGTAGGAAGTTATTAATAAAAAACTTTCAAAATTGTCTATTACAAGTACTAGTTATTACCTCCCATTGGACAGACAGGACAGTAATAAAATTTTGGTAGATGTAAGTACATAAGACACATACTGTAGATAAGATATAACACAAAAAAATTAAGCCACAAAATCACTCTTATAAATATTCAGTTCAGACAAATCTGGAAGTTTAGAAATAGATAGGGTATTACTTTAGATTAAGTGCATCCAAAAAAAAGGATGTTTTTTTAAATTATATGTTTTTTGGGGTGTAGATTAAGAATCTGAAATCCGTTTTTAGCGGTCGGCATCGGAAATTTTTAATGGAACCTGTTCCTAACTGGACCTAACGTCCTAACCTGCAAGGTTTTTGTTGATCGGCTAGGTTTTTCTATGTTTGGAGTCCCTCCGGCGGCCAGAAAAACCTAGCCAATAGGTTTTTTCAATGTTTGGAGTCCGTCCGGCGGCTGGAAAAACCTAGCCAATCAACAAAAACCTTGCAGGTTATGTCCAGTTAGGAACAGGTTCCATTAAAAATTTCTGATGCCAACCGCCAAAAACAGATTTCAGATTCTTAATCTACACCCCAAAAAACATATAATTAAAAAAACACCCTTTTATGGATGCACTTAATCTAAAGTATTAGCATAGATAGTTCAGGTCCAATTGCCACTTTGCTAGAGATGATGGTCCAAATGTCCAATCGCTCTGAGGGATGTATCCCCAATGAGTCGGTGAATGTTGAATAGAACAACCCACCCAAGCTACAAGATTTTAATAATAAGAAGGACTTTTCTAAGTATGACAAAATAAGTAATAAGTGGGACAAAAAGTCTATGAATTTGGCCAATGTTACCAAATCTCTTAGCCTTTTCCAGTTTCTTCTGTAAAGAATATAAATAATATACATTTAAAAATTACTTTTCAAAGACAACACTTCTAAAGAATCCAGTGTCTTCAATCTTACAAATGTACAATGAATTTCTCATTTAATTTTTAAATAAAAAAATTAGTTTTTCAATTTTTTTTAATAGGTATATACATTTTTTAATATATAAATTTTTTAAAAATTATTTATTCTATTAATTGATTCATGCATTGCCTCTGACTTCACACAAGTGTGCAAAATTTCAGATCAATCAGACAGGTAAAAGTGTGTCAGATATCAGTTTTAAGATTTGTAGCTGACAAAATTATTTTTTCAATTTTTTTAATATTGAAAAAAAATTTTTTTTTTAATTTTTAAAATCTTTTATTTTGACATTTGATTCATGCATTGTCTCCAACTTTACACAAGTGTGCAAAATTTCAGATTGATAGGATAAGTAGAAGTGTATTAAATTTTGATAACAAGATTTGTAGCAGACAGACAGACAAGCAAGAAGTGAAGTTAAAGAGAAGTGTTGTAAAAATGGCCTATTCTGGCATATTAATTTTGATGAAACAGCAATGAATCAACTGTTACTGTTCTTACGGTACCCAGTTCTATTCACTATTGGAGTTTGGACTTCTGCCTGATATTCCAAATTAGAGTGCAATGAAATTGCTCTTATATGCCACATTGCTGCCTGAATAAGCCTGATAATGCCTTTGGGCGGCTTTAGTCTCTAGACACTTGAATTTAGTCTCAACTTCATAGTTCATACATTCATAGCCTGATTAGCCTCATAGGCTAATTTACTGATTCTACTCTACTCAGTTAGTCTCAGTAGGACAGTAGCAAGCTTGCTTGAGAGTTGAGAGCTGCGAGTATCAGCGAGTTGAGTTGCACAAGGGAGGGGATATCGGATATGAAAGTAATGGAGGCGTTGGGGCCTGGGCAATGCCGGCCTTTCTCTAAGGCTCTAACAGTCCGACACTAAGACCTTGAGTGATGGAATGAACTTTATAAAATAATAAATGCGTGCAAGATCGCCATCGTATATATATACTCAGAGCCTCGAAACGGTAGAACACAGATCTTTCACCATCGTTGCTTCGTGCATGATGTACGAAGAATGTGTGGTTTATCTTGCTTTGAAGAGAACTTATCTTGAGCCTCTCATAGCAAAGGACAGACCATCACTCCGGTCCCAGGACTCTGGAGTAACACAATGTGGAGTCAGAGGAATGCAAAACACGTGGCGAACAAACAATCCATCGATTAGCGCGGAGAAGTTGTAGTTTCCGGAGTGTCGGAATCATGCGGGTCATTTTTGTATTACTATTGAAATAGATAACGCAATTCCTCAATTGCTGAATGTTTGAATAGCGGCTTCATGCCACTATCAAAATAAAACACCTTCTGTATAGAGTTTGAGATCTACGCTTAATTTGATTTCGTGTGTTCAGTGAATGTGTTCTTCAATCATCCGGTAATATTGGGTGCCACGAGATGAAATAATGAAAATTAATCGTTTATTAAACCTAAATTACAATTCCAAACCTTACATGATTACTACAGACTCGTTCATAGGGATTAAAATTTCATCAAACTAATCTACGTCATGTGTCAGAACTTCAAAACATATTCATAAATTTACTAAATTAACGAATACAAAAAATATCAAACGAGGAAAATTTATATCATTTAATAGCATTTTCGCACTCTGCTGCAATACTTAGCACGCGATATTTTAAATGTTTAGCGCTCATATCACCTCAAAAATATCTTATAAAGTAAGTAAACAACATAAATTAATAAACTTCCAACACAAATCAGCACTCAACACTCCCCGGTAACACATAGCACTCTAATGCAGTGCCTAACCCTTTCATCACGATACTTTTACCTAGTTACCTAGAACTAGTTCCCCTGCACTAGTTACCGTGCAAAAAGTTCACTAGTTCCCCTGCACTAATTACCGTGTAAAAAGTTCATTAGTTCCCCTGCACTAGTTTCCGAGTAAAAAGTTCACTAGTTACCGTGTAAAAAGTTCACTAGTTCCCTGCANCCTGCACTAGTTACCGTGTAAAATGTTCACTAGTTCCCCTGCACTAGTTACCGTGTAAAAAGTTCACTAGTTCCCCTGCACTAGTTACCGTGTAAAAAGTTCACTAGTTCCCTGCACTAGTTACCGTGTAAAAAGTTCACTAGTTCCCCTGCACTAGTTAACGTGTAAAAGTTCTGCTAATGTAAAGGCAAATAAAAAGCGAAGTCTCGAGGCAGATTTTACATCATTTATTATACATATGCAGCTTATATACATAGTCTATGGGGGAGATATATAGCTTATAGGCTACACTTGGAATAATGAGTGGGTGACATTGCCCAAATAGTGACATATTTGAACAAATTTACACTAATTATTCTGAGTGATATTAATTAATTAGTTTGAGCTTACCTCTTGCTGGGTCATTTTGACCCACATTTGTGCGTAACCGTAAAAATTGCGAAATTTTTAAACAAAAACAATTAGAATTTAATAGTAAAACTTAAGCAATAAATTATGGAGCAAATCATCCATCATATCCAATCATTTAAATTCTTTAAGTAAACAATTATTTATTTTAATTAACAGAACAATGGACGAGCTTAAATATTTAATATTTTAATAATTAAACAAATGTAATAATATTCTTAAGCTGGTAAATCAGGGCACAACTGGACGGATTCGTGGGTACAACTGGACGGATTCGTGGGCACAACTGGACGGATTCGTGGGTATAACACGTTTATAACATGTTGATAACATGTTGATAACACGTTGATAACACGTTTATAACATGTTGATAAAATGTTCATAACACAACCGATATTGTATTTATTGTTGAGGTTTATACAAATATTTAATAGTTTTATAATGGTTCATATTTATCTATTCCCTCGACAACAATTAATTCAGTTTAATTAATAATAATTAATTCACTTTTTTTCACCCGGCATTTTATTCTATTGATGAGAGACGAACAATAGAATTTATATAATATATTTTATCATCATAATCAATACTGCAATATTTTAGGCACCTTAAATACCATGTACCTGAGTAGGGGGCGAAATACCCCCAGGGGGTGAGAGGGGGGGAAGGGGGTCAAGGAGTCAAGCGGGGCAAGGGGTCAAGGGGGTAAGGGGTCAAGGTGTCAAGGGGGGCAAGGGGGCAAGGGGGTAAGGGGTCAAGGTGTCAAGAGGTCAGGGGGTCAAGGGTGAGTCAAGGGGTCAAGGGGTCAAGGAGTCAGGGGGTCAAGAGGTCAAGGGGCCAAGGGGGCAAGGGGGCAAGGGGATTCTAAAAAACGTCTACGTTGCATACAGGACATTGCAAACATTGCCCAACACATTTTTTTGTGTGGTCGCAAATTGATTCTTCAGAACTACCAGGATTGCGCGTAAAAATGATGAGTCATCGCCAGGAAAAATTCCTACGTCCTTATCGTATTTTTTTCTGAGAATACGGCTGAAATTGAGACGATCGTACTTACATGTACGTGTCATGTACGCACACACATGTACACAAAGTTTAAACACACACACACACGCGCGTAACCGTCCACGGCCACGCTCAGGAGTCGCTGGCAGCGCCGGCGCCATTGTTGGACTTCATGCCGTTCATCTCGAGGTCGTACGTCTGGCGTCAAACAGAAAAAGAACAAAATCAGCTATAAAAATGAGTTTAAAATCACAAAAAGTTATGTTTGATACCTGGTTTTTAATATTTCAATCGTGACGGTTTATAAAATATGGAATCCGCAAGAAGAATTTTTAAAATATATTATGTTTTTACTTTGTACCATCACTATGCGAAATCGAACATCGTACGTCTGGAACAAGTTGTCGTACCACTTCACTGTTAAACCTAACATCGTACGTCTGGGCCAAGTTGTCGTACCATTGAATTGTAAAACATAACATTGTACGTCTGGGACAAGTTTTCTTACCACTTCACTGTTAAAACTAACATCGTACGTCTGGGCCAAGTTGTCGTACCATTGAATTGTAAAACATAACATTGAACGTCTGGGACAAGTTGTCTAACCACTTCACTGTTAAACATAACATCGTACGTTTGGGCCAAGTTGTCGTACCATTGAATTGTAAAACCTAACATCGTACGTCTGGGACAAGTTGTCGTACCGTTGTACTGTTAAACCGAACATCGTACGTCTGAAACAAGTTGTCCTACCATTGCATGGTAAAGCCGAACATCGTACGTCTGGACTAGATATAAAAATCGCAGCCAGGTTTCTTACTTCGAAATTTTCTGATTGACCCCAGTAAATGGTTATTCTTTTTTCTAAAATAAAATACGAATTTCCTTACTTCCACGAAATGCGTTGAAGTTGTCGTACAAAATTGAGACCAATGTCAAGTTATCGTACGTCTTGGATAACTAATACAGCAGAACTTTCTGCCATATTACGAAATATATATAATAAAAAATTTACATATCCGATTACAAATCCCTTGTAAAATTGCAACAATTGAAGATGAAGCCAATAATAACCCACTTGTTGATATCTTACCATAAATCTAACTCATAAGTGGGTATATCTGACCCACCTTATATGAGGGGTTGTCGTACGCTGCCGACGCCACCGAGGTCGTCTTGATGCCGCCGCGATCTGAAATAAATTATGCCTTAACAATTGGCACCAGGGACCATACTTTAAAAAAACGTTAAGAGGTCGTAAGTTCATCAGCCAATCATTGACGACCTGTCAAGCCAAATCCACAAATCACACACAAATAAATAGAGCGTAAGTACTTACGTTCAAATAGCGAGTTTTGAAAGTATAGCCCCAGATCTCATTTGTAAGTAACCTGCCCTTAACCGCGCTATTATAACTGGTATTAATGGATATTACAATGCATTTATATATATCCCAATATTTTTCTATCCATGTAACCATTAACCATCCTAGTTAAGGTCACCCGTGAGCATACCTAATGCAAGGTTGACCCACGTGCAGCTGCGCCTTGCGGATGTCATTTGTTATTCCAACTGTGACGTCATCTCGTGACGTCACACTGATTTGTAACACCGGCTTTGCTTAAAATAACACTACTTGCAAGCAGTGAATAAAATTCTTTGGACCATTTTGATGAGTTCAATTTTTTAAAATGCTTTCAAAGATGACTGTTGTTCTACACTATTCACATTTTTCACTACACTATTCTCTACACATTCTTACACTACACATTCTACTACACTACACATTCACTACACTATTCTCACAGTTACGTCACTCTAGAGATGCGGAAAATCGTCATCACCGTGGGTCAACCTTATATTAGTTCAACCATGCCCGAGAGCATTAATCACCCGTTACCGCTTGGTCAACATGACATCTTCGTAGTGAACCCTAATCTCTCCCAACACTCCCTATATTCTCTTAACCCTCTACGGCCTGACACGAGTAAACGGAGCAATATTGTTAATGTAATAACATTACTAATAATTTCCATACATTTCTAATAGTAATAATAATATTGGTAATATGATATAGTAATATTAGTAATATCGTCACGCGCCTACTTCCCAAAAAGGAATACGTTCTAGTGAGCGCAAAATGACTTGCACTGATGGTTGCCGCCACGTACGACAACTTTAAAATGTTCTCTGTTGCGTACAAACGTCCTCAGGTTTGAAAGGCCGTCAATGATTGGCTGATGAACTTACGATCTCTTAACTTTTTTTTGAAAGTATAGGCCCATGTGAGTGACGTGCAGCGGTAGAGGATTAAGACCTTAAGATCCTCCCAGGTAACTAGTGTCGTGCTGCAAGCACCACCTTTGACGGCTACCAAGCTCCGCCCACCAGCGACACCGTAAAATTAAATGCTGTTCCTGAGGCTCGAACCCACGACTAGCTCCTCTCATTTCTCCCCCTCCCGCCACTTACCGCCGTTG